GATCCGTAATTGCACCCATACAGGGGGAAAGTTGACAGACACAGCAATAAATGCCAAAGCCCCAGAAGAACTGGCTCTCCAAGCCCCTGCCTGGAGCGACTCCATCTCCTCTTAATAGGAGGAGAATCGCACATGCATGCAATTCCAGTGCATGTGTGCGTGTTAGTATTTAGAGAGAAAAATCGAGGAGCCTCGGTATGATGGAAATAATTTCTTTTCCTCTCCCACATACTTTGTGCTTAGGAGCAGATGGATCCAGGCTGTTTACATCACGGAGGTCATGCCTCAGCTTAACAGTTGGGGAACTGACTGTTGGGAGAGATGCGCATCGCAACCAGAAGATTGCTAAATCTGGGCTCCGGCAAACTTCTGATGGTGGCAAGTTAAACATACAAATGTCCTCCTGCAGCCTCTCCGCGTTCAGGATCTGCCTCGGGTGTTTGATTGTTTCCCCACAGAAAACCGCTGCCGAGATGAAGCGAGGACAGAGAGGCGGCTCTGCAGCAGCTCGCGAGTGTGAACTTTGAGAAGGCGGCTGGAAATCCGGAGTGGACCTCGTTATTCGCCAGCGCAGATGGTGCAGTTTGCAAGCGACGTGGGTCCAGGTTTCTGCAAGCGGGCTACCAGGGCTCGCCGCTCACCGCTGCGCCCCACGTTAACAGAGCGACCGTGATTTCAGGGGCCCGCCTGCCGTAACGCCGGGGAAAGGTTTCCTTCGTGTGGATGTGTTTCCATGGAGCTCATCCCCAAAGTGACCTTCTCCTCCCAGCTCAGCCCAGCCGCGGGGCGTGCGGGGGGATCCAGCCAGACCCTGCCCGCTCATCCAGCACAGAGCCTGGGCGATGGAAAGGTCACCCTTCCCCTCCCGCAGCAGAGCCCAGTGCTCTCTTCCAGCACAAAGAGGATTGCGAGAAGCATTAAAAACAAGAAAAACTAAGCAAGCAAAGCAAGGAACAAAGCCCTTCTTATTGCACTCAAGGACACGCATTGTTTGCGTGCAGAAGTACCTCCTCCCTCCCCGCGTCGCACCCCTCCGCGGCTCCGGCAGCAGCTTTGGCAAGAGGATGCTTCACCCCCGTCGAGGTACCGCATCCACTGAGCCGCAGAGGACGGCTGTGGCCGTGGCCAGGCAGGAGGGCGTGCGCGGTGGCCTTGCCATCGGGTGGCAGAGCCCAGCTCGCCGCCTCCACTCACCTCGCTCAGCCCTCCGGGGAGCTGAGCAGTCGTGCTTTTCCCTAGGTAACCTGGCACGCCACGAGAGCATCTCCATTGCCAATTAGGCCACCCACCCACTTGCATCCTTCCCCAATACAAACCCTATTAGCGATAAACAAACAGTCGAAATGCCAGCCAGCGCCTGGGAAGAGCCCTAGACAACTGCATCCAATTCGGCGGGCGCGGGAACAGCTGCCTCGCGCAGACAAGCGTCGAGCATGGACCAGGGCCGGGCATCCCACCAGCCACCCGGTGGTCCTCCTG